TGGATGCAGCGGAGAGCAAACACCTGCTTAAGCTGTACACGCCAGTCAGAGTTTCTGTTCTGAAGGAATGGAAATGTGAATAAGACACTGCGGAGCGCGGCTTTGCTTGAATAGTATCAGCAGCCGCCGGGTGCCACGGAGAGGTCACTTCTTTAAAGGGCCAACAAGCCAACGGCCGCAATAGCGACGGCCAGCAGACTCGGGGCAACAGCAGAGGCAGAACCTGTGATAGATGCCTTGATCTTCTTCCACTGCTCTTCGCTGCGCGCAATTCGCAAACAGATGAACAACACACAAGACTGTGATCGCATCCAGAGGCCTAGCTCTGTAACCAACTATAGTTTTGCAAGAATGGATTTCCAACTTACTTGAAGGGTTCTGCTTCCTTTGTAAGTGCTTCAGGTGTGGTCATGCACAGGAGAGCATAGCCTGTCTTTCCTCCATCAGTGTTTGCGTCCTGCACTTCTGGGTTTCCGGCAGCTGCCGTTTGTGTGCAGGTAACGACCTGGCAGTCAGCAGCGGCATTCTCTTGAGGGTTGTACAGAGCAACAAAAGAAATGTTCTGCTGTTTCTTGTAGAGATCCGTGTCGTTATTATTCGCGGGAGGGATTGTAGTGAAGTTGCTGACGGCGTCCTTCCAGTGCTTCACTGCGGCGGCGCAGTCGGCCGTCGCCGATTCCAAGGCCATGTAGGCGTATGTACCAGTTTTAAATCCTTTTGCACTTGTGCTCTCTTCTACTTGTTCTTCTTCTTCCTGAAATGAAAAAAGCACGGATGAAGAAATGAGACATGACGTAAAGATAGTAGGACGAAGGACAGAGACCGCAGTGAAAGACACTTACTCCTATCAGAGCCTTACAAACAGGATCCCATGCAGGATTGCTTTGCTGTTGTCTTTCCTGCACTGTAAGCTCAGGCCACGGTTGTTCACTGCTCTCCTTTACGAAGTGTTTGAGTCCAGCGGCTTCGCGTGAAGCGTTCATTTCTTCGAGGCACACATTTGCATCCTCTGCAGAAAAACGGACGATGCACACATCCTAAGCCCAAATTTACAAGTACTGATACGTGCAAATGTGGGTTGGAGCAATTTAATGCCCTTCGAAGGATTTCTTCGCTTCCAAACCCACTGAAACTCCGGCGCAAATCATCGTCTCCAATGCATTTACTTTGGACCACTACAAGGCTGAAACCCTCCCTACCGAACAAGTATTTGCCGTCATACCGAGTTTTACAGTGTAGGTTGGGGATGACCCCTGCGCTGTCAATGAAGTTTGCTTTGCCGTTTGATGCACAGCGTTCGCCATCAAGAACGCAGACGCAGAGGCGAGCGAAAAAAGTTTAAGGGCCGCCATGTTTTCAGTGTCGAAGTTGAATATGTGAACGAGCAAACGGGAAGAGCTGGGAAAGTTTGAAAGGGCATCAAGCCCAGAGCGAACAATATGTTTTGCAGTGTGTGCAGAAGTGGCGGCGAGGGAGCGGACCACGGCTGGCCTATCCGGTCCGGCGTGGAGTCACCCTGGTTATGCGCGAGAGTTGAGTTTACAGCCCTGCCGTTGTAAAAAAAAAGCTAAACGGGGTATTTCAAGAATTATTGTCTACACGGTGCCCCCTGTCGTCGCTGAATGCCACGTGAAACGCCGGCGCAAACTCCTTGCCATTCTGCGTGAATCGGGGACGCGGAGGGCCGAGGTCCCTCGTACGCGATTAATGTTGTTCTGTCCATGTGCAAACAA